ATGATGCTATTGAGCAATCTCATGACTACCTCTTCTTCAATCAGGGTCAGTGCTGCTGTGCCGGCTCTCGTATATTTGTTGAAGAGTCCATCTACGACGAGTTTGTAAAGAGAAGTGTTGAGCGTGCCAAGGCCAGACGTGTTGGAGATCCTTGGGATAAGTCCTCGGATCAGGGACCTCAGGTGGATCAGGCCCAGTTTGATAAGATCATGGGTCTGATAGAGAGTGGGAAGAAGGAAGGAGCCAAGTTAGAGTGTGGCGGTAATCGTGTCGGTGATAAAGGTTTCTTTGTAGAGCCCACGGTCTTCACTAACGTCAACGATGAGATGACGATAGCCAAAGAGGAGATATTTGGTCCTGTGATGCAGATAATGAAGTTCAAGACGATAGACGAAGTGATTGAGAGATCCAACAGGAGCCTTTACGGTCTTGCTGCCGCCATCTTCACCAAGAACCTGGATAATGCTCTGATGCTAGCTCAGGGCCTGCAGGCAGGATCTGTTTGGATCAATTGTCACAATGTGTTCCTTGTACAGTCTCCATTTGGTGGTTTTAAGGAGTCTGGTATTGGTAGAGAGTTGAGTGAGTATGCTCTCCATGAGTATACTGAAGTGAAGAACATCACCATTAGGATCCCTCAGAAGAACTCTTAAACTCTTGAACCTTTAGTAACACGTAGTTTGAACAAACAATAATTATTGTGCTGCTTTGATCCTTTTTTGCTGAGGCTTTATTTTGTTAGATTAAAAAGTTTATCTATTGGTTTGTCATGCACTGCAGCTTGATTGGCCACAAGAATTCATTTTGGCTACTACTGTAATTACTACGACATCTATCTAAATTCTACACATACATGTACATCACACAAAAGAAAAACAATTAATCAATATAGTAGAGAGTAATTTTATACTCTTGATACAGTAAGTATATAGATTAATAAATAAATTAATTTATAATGTATTGAGTTTCTTTGCTGCTTCTTTCTTGAATTTCCTACGAAGCATCTTGTTACGACTGAAGAGATGACTCAAGTTGGAGTGCATGGAATCCTTATTGATAGAGTCTTCAATTGCTGTAGCTAAATCTTCATCTTTACTAGTAACAAGAGCAACAACTATAGGGAGAAAAAGAGAAGGAGTTGCAATTAATGTATGGTGTCAGTATCTATATATGCCCATTCATAAGTGCTTTATTAGTCTCTCCTAATGTTACTACAGTAGATAATACATACTTGCTAAAAGAACTACCGAAATGCTATTTTTGAGACAAGTTGTCAAGTTAACACCTCAAAGAGCTCATTTTTACCTTAAGGTGCAAACAGGACTTTAAAATAAATAACAATCAGTTCCTTTATAAAATTTTTCACAATTTAATTATCCCGGTATTATTAGTAGTTCAAACTTTCCTATGAAATATGACGGCATCAATACACTGTACAAGATGATTTATTGCCAAGAGTAAAATTTTGGCAAATTTTCCAGTGGAAAGTTAATTGGCAAATTGTATATTACCACGTCTATTAAGCATGCTCAGATTGAAACAAAATGGTGAATTTTATATTGGAAATTTCTTCATAGAACCACCAATTGCCAACATTAATTCCTCGCAAATAAATCATGTTGTACATTATACATGTACCAGAATAATTTAAAATATAAACATAACTTCATTTATTAACATCTCAGTCCATACCTTTTCCAGGTTTCCCAGCTCTTGCTGTTCGACCGGCTCTATGTAAAAACCCTACAGTGCCAGTAGGAAAGTCGTACATAATGACTGAACTGATATCAGGTATATCAAGTCCCCTGGAGCTAAGGTCAGTTGAAATGAGAACCTTGATATTACCAGACTTGAAATTTTCAATTAATGAAACTCTCTTCTTTGGAGTAATGTGCTTATGGAGCTGTCCAACCTTGTTTGACCACCAAAGGGAAGAGGAGGGGGAAGGAGAGCACGTAAATTCTTCTAGCTTGTTGTATAGCTCTTCGACATTACTTAAAGTATTACAAAAAACAAGTATTTTCTGAGACTTATCTCTCTTCAGTTCATTGACTAGAGTTTGGAATTTCGTGTCAGTTCCCTCACTCTCTGCCAAATACTCAAACTTAAACTGGCTATTGGAGAGAACCTGGTGAGTGTTATCAGTACTCACATATACTGTCTCCCGTGGGAGCCAGCGCTTTAGTAGAGTCCCAACACTTTTCGGAGACTTTGATGGAAGTGTAGCAGCTGTCAAGATAACTTGCACTCTTTCTTTGCTCTCTGTCCCTCCCTTTCTTAATGAATTATTCTTACATTGTGGAACAAAAGTTTCTAGAATGTCCCTCGAAGCACTTTCATGTCCTCCAGAAAACAAAATATCTGCCTCGTCATAACAGATAAACTCAAGGCCCCTCAGAATCTTTTTTATATCGTACTGGAAGATAAAGGTTGGTGTGGTCACTACGAGATGGGTCGGGTTTGTCATTAGAAGAGGACGATTGGAATAAGCAACACTAGAATGAAACCCGTAATCTTTTGAAAGGTCTTGAAAATAGTGATTAATCTAGAAATAGAATAAAAGGATTAGTATCTAATGTATTTTATACATTAAAATCATGTTATGCTTTTGTCAACAGTATAAGCATGAGACTGTTTGGATTTATGGTCACCAGAACTATAGCAGCTGTCAAAACATCATAAAAAAGGATTGTCCATCACACAGTACACAAACTACTGACCTGATGTGCTAGATCAGCAGTGGGGACCATCACAAGAGCAATTGGTGATGAGACTTGCTCATTAGTGGTAGAAAGATGTATCAGTCTCTGAAGTATTGGGAGCAAGAAGCCTAAAGAGATGCATATACAGTGTCCATGTACACACACACACACATACAAACACACACTTAGGGCTGAGGCTATTATTTGGAAATAATTTTGAGAATAATGGGTCTAAATTTTAACTAGGTAGAATAATGATTTGAAAAAAGAATAGTGGGTGGAAACTGCTTAAGAATAATTAGAGTGGTTTGCAGCAAAAATCATTAATAATCATATAAAAAACTTTAATAATTGTTAATTAACTAGTAATAATAGTTAACTAATAATAGTTACTTAAGTAATAATAATAGCTAAGTTAACTATACATAATTTGCACAGACTCCTCTATGAACTGACAAAATGTGTGCTTATCATTAAAAAAATGGAATATAAGTTGGGAATAATAGGGAGTTTTTTTGAGAATAATGAATGTTTTTATAAGCATATCAGAATAGAATAATGGCTGATTTTTTGAGAATAATAGCCTCAGCCCTACACACACTACAAAGTACATTATGTATGATACACGAAGGAGCTGATGGGTATTGTAACATTATAATAAATGTATGTACCAAGTAAAAAGTTTGCGGTTTTTTATGCCCTGTCTTGTACAGGGGCTTCATATAGTACAGGGACTTGTCCTGTATTATACCCTGTCACTGTACAGGGTATTTGGCCAAATTTGCCAAAAGCAACTAGGAGAGAATTCTCCATATATATATATATATATATATTTTTTTTTTTAAATACAAAATGTCCTTATATTGTGTAGAAAGCTTAAGGTCATTCTGATCAAAATTGAAATTTTAATGAATTTTTAAAGTTGTTCTAAAATCAGACCAAAAACCTTGTACAGGGTCCTTGGTTAAATTTTGCCAAAAATGACTAAAAAAGATATCTCCATTTTTATAAATTTTTAGCGTAGAAAGTTTGAGGTCATTCTAATCAAAATTGGAATTTTTATGAATTTTTAAAATTGCTCTAAAACTGGGCCATTGAAGTCTTTTTACCAAAAATGACTAGGCTCCATTTTTATAATTTCTTTCTGATACATATAGAGTAAGTTGGGGCTATTCCATTCTGTCCCTCTGTATAAAGGAATGAAAAATTCATGTGGAGCAAGGGTAAGAATAGCCCCACCTAGGTGGTCCTACTTTTTCTATTATAACTTTCTAAGTGTAGCAGATACATGACTAAGAGCAAGACAGATCAATTTAGCAGAAAAATCTATTTATTACAGTACCAAACAAAAACTTGATTCCTACATGGCAAAAGTGAAAGACGCAGTCAAATAATTAGTCTTTCTTCAGGTTGAAATAGCCCCGAAATACCGATCACTTTATGTACAATTTTTATTCAACTTCAAACCGAATTTTGCATGCATTAATGATGAAGAGAAACAATAGACTTAGTAGAACAACACAATGATAAATAAAATGAGCGGATAAAAGCAACAAAAAGTGAGTTATGACTTTGTAAATATTTTAGTGCAAAAACCGGTCAGAATAGCCTGACTTACTCTACATGTTTTTATGTTGTGTAGAAAGTTTGAGCTCATCCCAATCAATATTAAATTTTTACAAATTTTAAAGACATTCCAAAATTTTGCCAAAGATCATTGACTTACATAGTGTCTTTCCTGATCCAGTTTCTGCATTAGCCACTACATGATTACCATTCAATGCAGGCACCAAACACTATTAAATACATAAAATACACATTCATTAATAATTACTAAACTGTGTTTATTAGTTTGCTACACAGCAATGTCTTTCGAACATGCATAGTATAAAAAAAGTAAAATAAAAAATGGTTCATTATCAATTTTTACATTACTTGATTACAGCATTACAAAAACATACTTTACTCTGGATATGAGTTGGAGATTTAATATTAAATGATGAAGAGAGCTTATCACAGAGATAAGGAATAATACCAAGATCTTTAAAGCTGCTAGATGAAGCAGATGAGCATGCCCTCCATTTTAACAGGAGCATCATGAGACTGCACGTGTTCATGAATAATTCATAAGCAAAAACTAATAATTGGACTACTAAACCGCAAAAGCAAAAATTAATGATTGATAATGGGAAGTTATTATGCTACAAAAAGTACTGCAAAAATGAAAGTTTAAGAGTTCTTCTGAGGGATCCTAATGGTGATGTTCTTCACTTCAGTATACTCATGGAGAGCATACTCACTCAACTCTCTACCAATACCAGACTCCTTAAAACCACCAAATGGAGACTGTACAAGGAACACATTGTGACAATTGATCCAAACAGATCCTGCCTGCAGGCCCTGAGCTAGCATCAGAGCATTATCCAGGTTCTTCGTGAAGATGGCGGCAGCAAGACCGTAAAGGCTCCTGTTGGATCTCTCAATCACTTCGTCTATCGTCTTGAACTTCATTATCTGCATCACAGGACCAAATATCTCCTCTTTGGCTATTGTCATCTCATCGTTGACGTTAGTGAAGACCGTGGGCTCCACAAAGAAACCTTTATCACCAACACGATTACCGCCACACTCTAACTTGGCTCCTTCCTTCTTCCCACTCTCTATCAGACCCATGATCTTATCAAACTGGGCCTGATCCACCTGAG